AATTTCCTTTGAATTCAGGCGTTTTCTGAGTCTTGAGCCAGCAGGAGATTTCACAAGACTTACGCCACATTCTCTAGAGCAGCTTCTGACTACGCTGGCTTGCTTCCAGCTGTGCTCCAAATGATTTATTTTTCAGGAGCCACCTTCTAAGTTTTGCACAGTTGGAGTGGGGAATTCACGATGTATAACCAAAAGGAAAGACATTTTGCTGTCCGCGTTGTACACTGTGGAACACAGGAAGTAAATGTATTGCTCCGAGGCCCTATTTGCATATTCATGCAATCGCTACAACGCTTTGCTTTCTGCTACGCATTATATCGCTGCCCCATCCAGAACTGTTCCTGTCGGCCTACTGTAGAAAGAGCCACACACCAACGAACAATAAGCTTGCCACACTAGTTCATTAGAACTGTAATCACACAGAACATTTAAGGACACCCAAACTGAAATTGAGTGGATTAGAGTTTCCAGTATTTTGGATTGTACCGGAATCATTTTTAACAGACAAAAGCGGGTGTCTTGCTTTGCATCACAAGTCAGAAGATTAACATTGTTCTAAGATTTAAATGGGATATCGCAGCCAGTGGCACAGCTGAGTGCAGTCCAATGATTTTTCATGCCAGCAGTCTCTGAAAAGGATGCCAAGGAATTTCTCTAAGCCTTCTGCAATGAAACATACTTTGCTTTCTGCCACTGAACACACCAGGTTTCCTAAGATAACTGATCCCAGCTATATAAATCATGGAAAGCAGAATAAATCAGAATCCATCATATTCTGAAATCAGATCCAATATGCTTTTTGCCACCCTGCATGCCCAGTGGTTGCCTTCAGAAGCCAAGTCTTGAGGTGCGACCACGCATCCCACACCAATTTTGAGTAAAGCAGGAAGTTCAGCAATTTAAGTAGGCTATTAACTAGATTAGGCGTCATGAGTTCATCGACTTCATGAATTATTTAGATGCTGTTGCAGCTTAAGCCTGGTGCATAAAAAAACTCTGTAAATATTTTGTCAATTGAGCCCTAAATCGTACAGGCTGAGATATTGAAGTTGGCAGGTTAAATGGAAGATGCGGTATTTGTCACAAACTGTGCTCTTTGTGAAAGCAGTTCTAACGCACCCAAGTGAATGCAGACTCAACATGCTAGAGTAGACTGAGGCATATCCCAGCCTGCTGAATGGATCTACATATGAATGTCACCATCCATCAGGTCAGAAGTCATGACGGCTATGAAAGCAACTTTACAATCCTTGCTTAGCTTTTCAAGATTGCTTTTCCCTAGATGAGTGGGATCTCTGAATACAGCAGTAAGAAAAAGCAACATCTTATATTAGGACATCCCTGAGGTATGCTCTTAGACATAAACCAAGAAAACAGATTAATGACTCATTAGACGCATCTACATGAGACTTTAGAAAGCGCAGTAGACTAATTCTACTGTGCATTACCACATTAATATGGCTTTTGCTGTGACGCACTAATGCACAGTAGAATTAGTCTACGGGGCACTAGTGGCACCTAAAAGACATGCGCCAGTGCTACTGTGCAGTAGTGCCAATTATGGCGCATTAAGTTAGTACTTATTACAGGTACTAATCTTAATGTGCCATAATTACGGCACATTACTGCATGTGTAGACACGCCCACTAAGGCATGCCTTGAGTGCCCTAACTTGTTGGCAGTATGGATCAGGTACTATCATTGCCTTAAAAAGCTTCAATATCAACACTCTCTGCGGGCACAAAACTACAACGTACACTGCACCCTGGGTGCAAGCAGGAATACATGTACAAATGCCCCCTATATAAAATGCATGAAGAGTTTGGTGGGTGCTTCCAGAGGAAGGGACAAGTGGAAATGGGTTAACAGCAGGCATGTGAGCAGAAAGAGGCAGGCACAACCTTTTGTACAATGACTTAGATAAAGCCTCAATCATGCAAAGACTAAACCTGCAAGCTGATCAACAGGATTTCTTAAAACAGCACAAACTTTTGCAGAGCAGTGGCCCAACGACACTGCGAGCAAGATAAAGTTTCGACAAGGACCAGACAGGAAGTACAAGCAAAGAAAATTGCTTCAACGACTTTCGTTAGAAGATGGGGGAAGATGAGAACAAACAGCAATACCAAAGCATTTGCTTTGAGGAATATGGAGGAGGGGGGAGATCATTTAGAAACGATTAGAATGAGCCTGTCGGCACATCTACACTTTTTTTTCTTGGAGCAGGGCCACAGAACTAATTACTTGTTAATGGCATGATTAGCATATGCTAACATGAAAGAGGTGGCATGGCCACACTGCTCTGTATGAGGGCGGCACAGAGTTTGTAAAACAGGCACAGCCTGGACCACTGCATAATAAAGATCAACAGCATAGTACAGTGTTGCTCAACTGCAGGGTACCAGCCAATAGTAGCAGTTAGGTGTGCAAACACTTAACACATGATTCACAAGATAAGCCAAGAGATTTCAAAGGGAATCCATGGCATGTAAAAAATTCTGGCCTGTTGTGGTCTTTCTTTGTTCTTTATCATAGAAACCTTGCTCTGTTTGGGTTTTTTTGACTACAGAAAAAATAAAGTGAAAGCCAAGAGTTGACACACTTTCCGAGCGGAGCCTTGAGCAAAAGGCACCATAGACGGTGCATTTACATTTACAAGAAGGCTGCCGCAACTATACTATGCTGGACTAAATGGCAATGATTCATTCCAGATTAACCCCATGTTCGAAGCAAAGCAAATAGCTCAGATCTCAATGTGCAGGTAGATAAAGGTACAGGTTCCTTGTATGTTCCTCTCACCAGTTTTCAGTAGGGAGCCCAGAGGGCCAACACAGCTGCTTATTTTACTTGTTTGCATCTTCACTGCTTAAAAAGTGTTTCTTGTCTGAAGTAGCTAACACATGAGCTATGCCGAAGGGAATTCACAGTAATAATGCAAAGCTCTTACCTTGTGGTATGCATTTTATTTAGATCTATTCATTCCACGAGGTGAATTAAAGAGCATTTTTGTTGTATCTAACCACTTTTTTGCTCCTCCAAAGCAGTGAAGACTAAAAATAGCCTTTTAGCACTTTAATCCTCCAGCTTATGTTGGCAAACTGTCACGCACACTCACGGGAAGGGTATAGCTAATAGGGCTGCACAAGGCTTTGGTCCCTGATTTGATCCGGAGGAGCTTCGGCCCGATTTGTTGGCTGAATCTCCAAATCCAATCAGAGGACCCTTAACCTCTCCAAATCGCATCAGAACCCTTTGAATCAATTTGGAACGATTCAGCAATTTGGACATAGAGACAGCTTGAAACGTTTTTTCTATATACCCTAGGTACCAGCCAGCTGGTGAATGCTGTGATGCTGGGGTGCATGGAGCATCCCACAGGAGCGAGGGGGGGTTCCCAGTCACTTGGCAGCAAACCCAGAAGTGGACCAGAAGTACTTTTGGTCCACTTCTGGCAGGGGCGGCACGTAGGGGGTGCATGGGGGTGACAGTGCCAGTGCACCCCGTCAGGAGCCGTGCTCCCCGTGTAGGCAGGCTCTAGAGATAGGCATGATCCAGGCTGAGATCCAGAGTACCTCCAGGAAATCGCAATTCAATCGCTCCTGGGATGAAGCAGAAACACTAGGCATAGGACTTCCAAAGCAGGCCTTTACAACTCAAACAGTTTTCGGATATGAGTGCCTAGAAATCTTTTAGGAAGAGCTGCCAGTCTAAATTTCCCTGTGGAGTACCACAGAAGCATTAGTCAAAAGAAATAAAGTGATTTTATAAAGATTACTTTGTTTTTTGCTCACTGGATCCAATTTTAAATCCCTCACACAACTGCTGATTCTCTTTCCGGTTTGTTCTCAGGAGCACTCATAGCATCACACCCAGTATTTCTTTTTATTAGTTGCTACTTTGGAAAAAGCACTTTTGAGTATCTGAAGCCTCTGTAATAACTTCAGACGTGTTCTTTTCTATTGGTATTTCAGGAATGACTGTAACTGCTCACCACAGGCAAGATTTTCAAACTCCTATGAGAAAGTAAAATTTCAACAGATTGTAGCATCTAAAAAAAAAATGGTCGTGTTTATAAAAAAATAATTAAAATGCCTTTTAATGAAGGTGGATATTTGTGCCTTCACTGCTGAACAAAAGCTATTGAAATCAATGAGCATAAATTCTGTTAGCACTACATAACACACTGAACGTTTTCCTGCTAGAAGTTTCTCTAGTTAACCTAACAACAGATGTTAAATATATATATATATTATATTTTTTTTTTTATATATACACATTAAACTCAAACTACAAAATACTACAACAGGCCATTTTAGCTTGAGCTCATATATTTCCTTTCTTCAGATCATAACTGAAGTTATATGCATTTAGAAAAAAAGATATGATAAGCTTCAGATACATAATAGCATCCATTTGAAGCTCAACTTATTTTGTATGCTGAGTGGAAATCTGCTTAGCCTTCTGCACAGTCTATACACCACTCCATGTGCAATGTATGCTTTTCTGTTTAAAGCACTTTATTTTCCGAGTGAATCATGTTAATGTTTAGTTGGGATATTTATAAATAATTAGGTATGAATTGTACCTTTTTTTTTTTTAAACAAAGCTTCATAATTTCTGCACAGGGAAGAACAGACTAACAAGTTGTTTACATTTTGGTCTACAAAATGTAATTTAAGTCACATTAGTTGTAGAATTATCTTAATATAGCAAGCCAATATTGAATTTCCAGACAAAACATTTTAAAGCTGTGTTCAGTTTGAGAAAACAGAGCAAATAAAGGGTAAAGAAACTTTACAAGATGGTGGCAATTAGTAGGAAAAGCATTCTAAAAATCCCCCAGGCTTTAACACTTGGGTTAAAAGTAACCCAAATATCTCAACTGATGGTGATGAGTTATTGTATGAGAAAGTTGCTGCAGATGGAAATTGAATTCTGACCTTCCAAAAAGACCTTAAAAAAGATCTAGAAAGCAGTTGCTAATTTGACTGCTAATTCCAGCAAGAAATAGACTAGAGATTTTATTTTGACATGGCAGCTTGGGTTTTCATTCAACATCCTTTGATACACTCCAGCCCAAAAGGACCATTATGATGTTGCTAATTTGAGAAGCTATTCAGTTGCAAATAAGCTCTCCCTGTCTCCAAAATGATTCCATGTAGTAGGATCTTATTAAATCACATTTGAGCTTTTTATGACTAGAAACAGACAACGGCAGATGAAGCGGATCAGCTGCGGGACAACAGGCAATGCATTTTCCTGGGGCTGGAGGGGCCGGTCCCGAGTACCCTGGGAATTCCCATGTAGAATCGGGCACCTCAAACCCTTGGAGCACCGGCCTGGTCTCCCTGAGCCAGGGAAACATGTCCCTGTGATCTCCCAGGCACATCTGGGTAGGTGAGGGAGGCCAGGTAGGGTCTCCCAGAGTTTGAGGGGCCTGAAACTATGCAAGAATTCCTGGGATTCATAGGATCAGGCCCCTCAAGCCTTTTGAGTCTCTACCCAGGGTGGATGGAGAGCACAGACAGCTTCAGGCTGTCTGCACTCTCACACTGTAAAGCAAATAGTCATCTGCTGCTACAAAAAGGCACAATTTATTACTACCTTGTCACAGCCACATATTTGGGCATTTGCAGTGAGACGAGAGATATGGGCGTCTATTTGTTCTCATTTTGTGCCACTGTAAAAAGGCTTTCCTACCCTAATGTGTAAACCTCTTGTTACTGGCAGTACAGCAGACCTGTGTTTTTGGAAAAGCAATACATTTTCTAGGATACAAAGTCTGCGATAATCAAGTACAAGAAGCTTGGCTGCCAGCCAGAGTCCTTTTCAGTACTTCCTGCTTAAATTGAGCAGTGCCATCACCTGCATTTCAGCTTTGTACCAACTCAAATAACTGATCTTCCCTGTCATGCTTACACAGGGGCTGCCATAATTATGAAAGAAACTTTGTACCTATGCTGACAGCCTGCACAATCTATTATTTCCTGTAAAATATCAGACATTTCTCACATGGGAATAGAATCGCATAGGATGTTGTTGTGGCAAAAGCATAGATTTAATAGATTTTAGGCTTGGAAGGGACCTATTAGATCATTGAGTCCGACCCCCTGCCCTGGGCAGGAAAGAGTGCTGGGGTCAGATGACTGCAGCCAGATGTTGGTTCAATCTCCTTTTAAACACCTCCAAGGAAGGGGACAGCACACCTCCCTTGGAAGCGTATTCCATATTTTGGCAACCCCCACTAAAGATTTTTCCTGATGTCCAATCTGAATTTGCTCTCCTTCAGTTTGTGGCCATTCCTCCTAGTTACCCGAATGGGCACCCTGGTAAAGATCGTATCCCCCATTTCTTGCTGTCTCCCCTGCCACGAGTTTGTAGACAGCCACAAGATCACCTCTCAGCCTCCTCTTGAGGCGGCTGAAGAGATTCAGGTCCCTCAGTTGGTCCTTGTAGGGTTTTTCCTGTAGGCCTTTAACCAGACAGGCGGCCCTCCTCTTAAGCCTTTCCAGGTTATCTACATCCCCCCTGAAGTGCGGTACCAAAAACTGGATGCGATACTCCAGCTGCGGCCTGACCAATGCCACATAGAAGGGAAGTATCGCCTCCCTGGACCTGTTTGTGATGCACTTACTTATGCAAGAAAGGGTGCGCTTAGCTTTACTTATTACCTCATCACATTGGTGACTCATGTTCATTTTGGAGTCGACTACAACTCCGAGATCCCTTTCTGCAGTTGTGCTACTTAGAGTGGTACCGCCCCGGCTATAGGAGTGTTGACCATTCTTCCTCCCCAGGTGCAACATGACACTTATGCTTGTTGAACTGCATCCTATTCTGTTCCTTCCGCTTCCCCAGTCGGTCCAAATCAGCCTGGATTCGCTCCCTGCCCTCTAATTTGTGTACCTCTCCCCATAGTCTGGTGTTGTCTGCAAACTTGGACAGGGTGCTTTTTACTCCTTCATCCAACTCACTCATGAAGATACTGAATGGTACCGGTCCCAGGACAGCGCCTTGGAGGACTCCTGCATTTCCTCCCCCGCCCCGAGGAAACCGACCCATCCACCACCACTCTTTTGGTGCGTCCCATAAGCCAATTTTCTACTCACTGGACTGTGTAATAATCTACACTGCAACTGTTTACATTGCAACATTTAGATTCAAGTGTAACTTTAAAAGATGCACGTTTCAGATGTATTCAAATTCTGGATTTCCAGGTACCATCATTGATTTCTAGGTAAACCAAGTCATGGTTGGGATGAAAAAAAAAAATAAAAAAAAAAAATCACTATTACAAGAAAAAAAGACTAAGTATTCTGAAAGCTGGTTTCCTTTGTTCAATAAGGATGTTAGTCCCTTCCCTCATAGTATTAACAAAAAAAGATTCCCCAGTAACCATACAAGATCTTTTCTGTCAAACCAGCTCAATCACCAATAAAACCTGAAATACCTTAAGTCACCAGGGGTGGGAGGGAGGAGGGGGCCCCTTGGGAGGGTACGTCCTAAAAAAAGCTTCAAGTTTTCCCTTAATTTGACTCTTCCTTCTTTTACCATAAATCATTAACTTGTATTAATACTTGTTCTAGTTGCCAGGAAGTGTCAAAGGCAAGCAGGAGAAATAGGAGCTTTTTCCCCCCGTGCAACATATGTTAAGACCAGGTTAAACCACAATACAAAGGCAGCTAACTCTGATCATAAAAAGAACAAACTGAATTTACATTTTATTGAAATATTTAAAGCAAGTTTCAAAAAGAATATTCTAACAGCCTTTCTTTGCCTGAAGAAGCTGTCAGTCACTAGTTTCAAGTTCTACATGTTTAGACAAGATGCTTACTTCTTTAAAAAGCAGTATGCTAGCCACAAATGTAAAAAAGAAATTAAACTCTAGATAGCAATAAGTGTACAGATATGTTATGAGATTTTATGCATTGCAAACAACTGCTGTCAGTTTGAGGGTATCTATTTTTCAGATTAATACTGGGCGACTTACAAAAAAGATACATGTACATAGTGTTATTGTAATTTATCTTAATATCTGTTTCAACTTGTCTCAGAACCCAGCTGACAAAAGTATGTAATACATTAGGTTACCAAAATAAAATAAAATCTCTCTTCTTAAAAACCCCAATGACCACCACAATGTTTCCAGGCAAACCCCTTTCACACATCCGTAAAGAATGATAGCATAAAGCATCAGTAGCGACAGTTACAAGCATAGAGTTCAAGTCATTGTACTTTTGTAGAACACAAAACTACACTTTGGAAAAGGCCCGTACAGACATTTAAATACATTTAATTGAGGCACATACTGAATTACAGATACAGCAAACTAGGGGGAAAAAAATCATACCGAAAGGAGATTTTTCATGTTTATTGAAATATGAGCAGCAGTATGCAAAATACCCTTAAAAAACATAACATAGCAAAACCTTATCATTTTAGAGTTAAACAAAATAAAAAGATGCTTAGAGTTAAATGAAAAAAAAAACCAACTCATTGCTAGAACCGTTTTCTACAATGTAAACAGAAGCAACAAGGTTAGGCTTGCAATACACAGAGAAGCAGGTCTATGGAGCAGCACAATAAAGTACAATTATGTCATCTGATGGCTTGGTTTATCGATTTGACTTCAGAATAGGTTTCCTTCCTGAAAAGAGAGACTTCAAGATATAAGACAAGTTAGTTTGACCCTTCCTGCAAGCCAAAATGTTCTTAATGTTTTATTTATTAAGGACTGCTACTAGCAACAGTTTGGGGAACTAAAATATTAGCTTTTATTTTTCAAGATACTTCAGGAGAGAAGGAAAAATCTTGATACATTATAAAAGCTCTTCTTCCCCCGTCTTAAGAGTATAAGAATATGTGCTTGACAAGTAAACAATTTTTTATGGTAACACTGAAAAAATTCCATAGCTTCCAGCAAAAAAAAACTCTCAAGAATTCATCATTATTAAAAGAGGAGAGGCCCATACCAACATCATCATACAGGCTGCTTCATGGTTATTTTGACTAACTGGGCATTTTGCAAGACTAGTAAGTCATACGGAAAAGTTACTGTTTGGTCCTAGAGATACCATAACCCAATATCATCCCTTCATGTACAACTACTTCCACAATACAGTTAAGTGTATTTAGTGCTTATGAACAATGCAAATTGACAGCCTGCAAACCTTGAGTCCTCTAGCCAGAGTGAAGTGCAAGCTTTCATGCTATGGTCACACCTAATGGCTCCTTAAACTATCCAAAAAGGAAGGTCAGCATACACCTGTTCTTGGCTCTTTGCTATCAATTACTGCTAGTGGTTGCTATGATCTAGTAATGTGCCCAGAGAATAAGGTTACTTCAGGCGTGTGTAGACGAAATGGAGGCCTTAAATTGAAGCGGTGGGTTTTTAAAAACACCGCTTCAATTTAGGGCCCTTTAAACCTTTGTGTCATGCACACACCTGCACATGCTTACCTGCCTCTCCGGTGGCAGGGAGGGGAGGGCGAGCTGCTGGTGGGCGGAGCAGTCCCTGGGCAGCTGAGGAAGACTGGTTGTTCCCTCCATGGCACTGGTGGCCCCCACCTCAGGCGGCACCTGCCTGCAGGCACCCGGCTCAGGCAGTCCCGGGGGGCACTGCAGCCATGGAGGGAAGCACCGGGTCCCCGCACACCTGAGGCAGGCAGGCTCCAGGGGGGAAAAAAAGAGAGATCAGGCTTGCTGCTTTTCTTGTGTGGAGCCTGTCTTCCCAGGCCACTGTTAGGCTGTCTGCAGAGCCCCTGAGCTGCATGGAGAAGCCAAGTGCTTCGCTCCATGGCTGTAGGGGCAGAAAAACCAAAACCTCCTCAGAGTTTTAGTTTGCTGTGCCCCAAGTCATTTAAGGCGCATTATACTACCAAATCTGCTACAGTGGCTGGAATTAATGTGCAATGTGCTGCTGAGACATGCAAACACCATTAAAGTGGTGCAAAAGCATTTAGCCCACTTTAAAGTGTTGTGCACATACGCCTCTCATTTCGTCTACACATGGCCTCCATTTCCAAAATGTTTTCATTCAGTGTGACCTGGGCTATACTTAAAGAGGCATCATCATCCATCATAGACAAATTGGTCAGGCCAATAACTCCATCTATCATTAGAAGCAAGTCTTAATTAAGAAGCAATTACATTCACAAGTACACTGTAAAAACTGAGGTGGCTGCTCCTATCATGGAATTTAAACATCTTTAGTGCCAAAGCAGTTCTCCACCTGCCCCTCTATGCATAGAGTCCTGAACTGCTACACCAACGGCACAGCTCAAGCCAAATGGGATTTAGGAAAAGCTACGATAAGCAGAACATACATTACAAAACTACGTATTTGAAAGGCCTCAGAGTCCTAGTCTTTCTGTTAATAAACACTTTAAAAAAAAAAAAAAAAAAA